TAGTTGTTACGTTACTTACGTACTTACGTAGTTAGTGTTGTTAGTTCGTTAGTTACGTAGTCGTCGTTTACGTCGTCGTCGTCGTTCGTCTCTCTCTCTCTCTCTCTCTCTCTCTCTCTCTCTCTCTCTCTTCTCTCTCTCTCTCTCTCTCTCTCTCTCTCTCTCTCTCTCTCTCTCTCTCTCTTTCTCTCTCTCTCTCTCTCTCTCTCACTCTTGCGTTCTCTCGCTCTCCTTCTTTCTCACTCGCCCGCACTCTTTCCCTTTCTCGCTTTCTTTGTCACCCAGCGTCTCGCTCTCGCGCGCTCTCTCTTTCTCCCCGCACGTCTGACACTCCCCCTCTCCGCTCCCTGCCTCTATTCAATTTTATCTTTTAGACCCCCTTCTACCCCTTTCTCCGCCTCCTGTCTTTTAATAACGATAATTTTATAACTCTTTTTATAACTTCGTTAAAAAGATGTGACACCTTTTACGATTTGAATAAATAATGCACACGTATAGTATAAGATTATCATATCAGGTTATCATTATTACTTGCATAATTTGAATTTCTGGTTATTTACCTCTGTTTGCGCACATGGGTTTAAAAAATATATATTTAGGGACAGCCGCGATCTTTGTTCCCTAAAGGCCACGGACCGGACTAATAATACGAGTAATCATCGTTATGACAACACGCTGATATATGATTGCGTTGTGAGTGACGTATTGCGTTGTGAGTGACGTATTGCGTTGTGAGTGACGTATTGCGTTGTGAGTGACGTATTGCGTTGTGAGTACGTATGACATGTCATGTACTAACGCTATAACGTAGTACTAACACTATCGCACGGTAACATGCGAGATATCGCCGGTCCTCACGGAGTCAGGCAGAATCTACCAGGTCCCGAGTCTACCGTCTTTTAGCGAAAATTACAGGTTGTCTATGTTATTCACAGCGAAGGCTGACGCCGCGTGACCTATCGAGAATTCTCGGATCTTATCAAAATTAAAGTCGACGCTTTCGCGTTTCTGAATTCTGCGAATCGCAGCACGAAGGAGCGATGAATGGGTTATATGCATGCCGGTGTACTTCCATGAAATGATTAGAGTGCAGAGCAATTCGGAGATTACGTTGTGAAGGCGCGCGTCCAGTGTGACCGAAAACGAAAAATCAGCCATACTGCATCAAAGGCGAGATGCTGGGCGGCTTAGAAATTTACACCTATGCTGCTTTAGATCCCACTGCCGGGCGGAGGTTTGATTGCCAATTAGCCGACTGACTTAAGCGCTCAAAATATTAGTAGGTAATTTTAAAATGAACTGTGTAACTGTATTTATGGGTGAGATCTACGAGAATATCGCGCGCAACTGGTGACCCTCTCTCATGAACCGCAACGTGACGTGCGTGCGGGAGACAAAGACAAACTGCCGAAGAGTATACTAGTAGGAAAGTAAAATATTATTCTTTACGTGCGTTATTCGTCACGAATTGCTTCTCTCTCTCTCTCTTTCAGATGAAGCCATCAAACGCGCAGGTAGTTTTCATCGTGTCCGTCGTGCTAGTGCTGATGAGCAGTCAATACAGCGAAGCCGCGTTGATGAGAATTTGTGGCCGAGAGCTACCGAGAGCGATCTATCAGGTCTGCTCCCTCAGTCGCAGGAAAAGAAGCACAACGGACATGGACACCACTGCGGATGGATTTGCGGGTACCGTATCTTTGTCGTTAGTGCTTCTCCATTCTTGTAGTCACCCATTGTTCTGTTATAGTTTACCAACATAACAGCTATTAACAATTAACATAATTGAAATAATAAAAATGAATAATAAACAATTAAAAACATTAATAACTTTAATAGTTATTCTCACCATAAAGCATGTTATAAATTGCAAGTTGCTCTTACTCATACGATGTACGTAGTGTAGACGTATTGTAGTCGCAGACAATTTTGTTATTTTAAAATTTCCGATTAAACGCAAACAAACAACCCAGCTAGACTTTGCGCACAATCGTATTTCCATCGCACACATAAGGAAGCGTGCAGAATTTTACCACTCTGTTATTTCGAATAAATATGCACTATGCTAGTTGTCTCATGAAATATGCCATCTATAACCAAGTTTCCACAGAAATACGTGCTGCTTGCTGCATATGTTTGGGTTTCTTTCGTGTTTCCAGAACTCGAACGGAATAAGTAAGCGATCTCAATCTACGAACAAGTTTTTTCCCTTTCAGTTGTGGTTAGAGTATCATTTAGCGTTCAAAATTGAGCGTAACGTTGTTGAAAATAATATTTACCACGCGCAAACTCATAATAAACCCATTTTATTTCATGGCAATCGCTCAATGTCATCTCGCTTCATGATCGATCAAATTCAATACCATTATAAAAATATCTTCTGCGAGCATAACCCCAACGATGGCGTGTCTTATCGGTGTGCTACTGCTCGTATAGCTTTGCTCACCTAAGTTTACACGTAAAAACTTAGGTATATGTTTCTGTACCGATCATATGATCAATCTTAGATGTGGTGCGGTGGCGCCTGGGTGTATGCGCTGGAAAGATAATGGACACTATGGACCTCATGCAGAAGCTCGGCCTAGGAAGCTAGAGATATTTATTCGCGCGTCAAGCCCCGTGTGAAGGCCAAATAGAAACTAACTACGAATCCGTATTCCGTCCACATTCACAGACGGTCATTAAATCGCTGGATAGAAAATGATGTCACCTCGGTGCGTCCATATTTCTCGTCAGTTGCCACGATATGTAGATCAGGACCCGTCGATCCTATTAACTAAATATCTAATTAATTGTAATTATAGTTTTCAATTAATGTATCTCGTTGTGAATGCTGTCTGCACGGTGAGCGGTGACTAACGACACAGTCATGTTCGACCTTGAAACATTGGCGACGGCCTCTAATATCGTGGACGCTGACACTGACGGACAGTGCGAGCTATTATACCAATGCTATTATACCTATGCTAAATGTATTCATTCTAGCGAGTAAGCCATTGTGTCAGTTAATGCGAATTTAAACATTTTCGCGGAAAAACGCGGAGAAACGCGGAAAAAACAACTGCATATATTAAATGTGCATTAACAGTCTTGTTTCAACGAGCATGGTCTGTTGTGCGCACACAGCAGGCAGGCAGTTTATTGCTGGCGGCCGACAACCGTGATTGCTTGCCCACACATGCGTGTACACTGAAGCAGAGAGATGCGTCTGATTTTGGATTGAGATGTTTTCTTTGATCGGTACGGTGTGGCGTTTACGCAACGATTACATTGTATTGAATAATCGGTTAGAGTCCGCGTCGAGCGGAAATTATCCCTGAAAAGAAACCACGACGAGCGCGGGAGCCTTGCAACTAACCCAGTTCTCAAGTGACTACACACCGTGCTGCACAATAGTTGATCAATTGACACCTATCACTTTAACATGACATGAATAAAAACTCGCTTATCAATCCAAGTAGCGTCATTTACCAAGTAGCATCACTTGGTGATCAGTGGACATGATCTGGTAATTGCTGTGTCAATGCACGTGCTATGTAGTCGTGATCACAAGCCACGCTCGCTCATCGTCCTGTATTTTGGGGGTTGATATGCAACCCAGCAGCGATCGCCCACGTTGATGATGTCTTTTTTATTGTAGTCGATACCGTTTCTTGTTTTGTTGTTTTTGCCATCACAGATGTTATTGTAATTTGCACTGTCATTATTATCTTTGTCGTGGTTTTCGTCGTCGTCGTCGTCGTTGTCGTCGTCATCATCATCATCCGCACCAGTAGAATCATCATCATCATCATCATCATCATCATCATCATTGTTGTTGTTGTTGTTGTTGTTGTTGTTGTTGTTGTTGTTGTTGTTGTTGTTGTTGTCGTCATTATCAGCATTATGCTCACTATAACAGGATCGTAGGCATCAGCATCAACATCAGCATCAACAAGAATAGCAGCGTCATTGTCATTATCATGACCACCGTCCAACGACTATATTAGATATTCGTTGACCCCCCGCACTAGCAGTTTTTTCTGGTACCATTGCTGCTACGTAAACACATGGGCGTTAATTACTATCATATTACGCAGATGAGTCATTGATGTCGATGATGGAGCCAGCAACAGCGAGAAGCAAGCGGCGAAACAGTTCAGCAATGGCGGCCAAGCGAGTACCGATGGCGCTGCTAGCCGATATGTGCTGCGCCAGCGGATGCTCGTTGTACGATCTCATGGGAGCCTGCTGATAGCTAGCTGCTTGGAGACGATCAACGTTCGTCGCTCGGTTCCCCGTCGAAAGGTTTTGGTAACGAGACTAAAGGTTCGAGAGAGGACAGCATAGAAAGAAACGATGAGAGGCTGGTACGAATCGCATTTGCACAGGTTGATTTGCACAGGTTGTGACGTAGAATATCCTCTGTTCAAATATCTGATGTAGAACACCTCCTAATACAGAATCAAAATAGAGTTCATTAAAAAGAAAGTTGTATGTGAGTAACAATCGTAAATTAATATTAGATTCGATTAAAAATTTTGTGTGCTTTTACTTGAAAGGCAATGTACGTTGATATTGCGCAAGTACCTTGATATATTGCGATCATAGTGTGATCATACGTGCGTTTAGGCTTCACACTCTTAAACTTGCAATTTTGTATTAAAGCATTTATAGCATTTATTAAACTACACGCGAAAAGTTCCATATTTTTGACGTATTCTACCTGACAATAAATGGCTGAGACTGGCTGCCATCGTAATATGAAATAGGCTTCGCATTCTAATGTATAGAGTGCCTAATGTCTACTCACCATCATATGATTTGTAATCTAATGTTGTTACAATGTTTAAATACTATACCTGCCCACAAAGAAAAATCTAAATTATATAATATTTTATTTATTTTATATTCGTCTAGAATTATTTGATATTCTATGTATTCTATCGCTGAGCATACACGTTGTGTCAGATAACACAAGTTTTACATCAACCCCGTGCTTTTAAAATCCGTGTTTATCGAGATTTACTTCTACGTGATGAAATAAGTCACGAAATAATATTGTATATCCAAACGAAAATGCGATGATATCATTTGGCTGCATTTCTAAGATTCATACAATCTGTGTACACTGAGAGCTAATATCGTACGCAGATGTTCACTACGCGTAGATCATTCTTTCGCTCATTTTGTCAACCGGAAACAGTGTATATTACCTACATTATGGTGCACTAACGTCAGCATTTACTATTGAAAAATATATTGAAAACGCCATATAAATGTATGACAACCACTCAATAAGCCGAGTTTACGTTTATAAATTACCTCATTCAATGTATATTTTTTATTTCATTGCAAATCATTTCGAATATTATTTACTTCAGTTAAAATGCGCTCGTCTTACAAACTCATACAGGTCACATCTATGTGATTTCGTGTAGTGTAAAGATTACGCAATGATATATGTGGGGAATTGCATATCAATTGCTACATTTAACCAACTGAAGATATTACGATTATTCGAGTAGAATGTGAGTGTTGCGATTGCAAGGAGTAATTACGCGAATTTTTTCGATGTCTCGTAACCATGCAGCACACAAGTATCATTATGTGTGAATATTTCTTTGTTGATAGTACTTTTCTGATAACTGTAAATGGTCATACATATATTTAGTATAGTACATATAACACATAATATATAACAAACAAGTAAGAATACATTAGAAAACTTATTTTACGCATATCGTTTAATTTCCTAAACGATGTAGTAATTTGCATTGAGACGTTGGATTACAAAGTAAAACCATATAATTAGGCTATTAGACGCTCATTTAGGCTGGTACGATCATTCTATATACCCAGAACCCACATGTTTCTATAACAATGCTGTAAACACATGCGAGATATTCAAAAAATCTGAAAGAACGAATGATTAAACTCGTTCCAACAAAAGCTCGTACTTATGAGCGTACATGTAAATATCATGCGTCTTGGTTATTTACCCTTCAATACAGCGGGCATATCAAGCATAGTCCTCTTAATTAATTTACTATACAGCTGCACTGCCCAGGTCAGGGACAGCGTTTCTTAAGACTAAAGAACTCCGTGCGGAGAATCTTCTCCATTATATCTTATGCGTCGTCTCGCAGACTAGATAACGCTGCTCTCTCTCTCTCTCTCTCTCTCGTCTCTCTCGTCTATCTCGCTCTCCTCCTCTCTCTCTCCAGTCTCTCTCTGGCTCTTCTCTCTCTCTCTCTCTCTCATCTCTCTCTCGCTCTCTCTCTCTCTCTTTCTCTTTCCCTCGCTCTCTATCGTGCGCGCTCTCTTTTCTCTCTTACCCTCTCCCTTTCCCTCTTCCCTTCTCTCTCTCTCTCTCTCTCGGTAGGAACAGCGCCATATTTGAAACGTAAACTAATCCACGCGCGGTGGCAGGCGTGACCATTCGAGTCGGACTATCGTAGACGCGATCAGGTGCCATGCAGAGCTTGGTCTATGTGATCGAAATGCTCGTCCGTGAATCACTGCGCGTGCGTGCGTGCGTGCGTGCGTGCGTGCGTGCGTGCGTGCGTACTTCGCCGCAAGAGCATCATCGGCTTACTGATCCGCGTAGCCGATCCCAGGACTCTGTACGGCAGGAATCTGTCTAAAAAGAATTTCAGAAGTCTAATTAAATTTCAAAACACATTATAGTGAACATCTATATGCACGTAACAGCTACTGACGTGTGTTCTGTAAGACGCCATTGATATTAGGCATTCATCAATTCTGGTATATCAATAATCGATGATATATATATATATATATATATAACGCTTTATATATGCCGTATCGGGAGACACTTGGTATGTTGTTAGTCCAATCTATTCGTGAAAATAACTATGTAGAACTACGTGGACACCTACGTGGATATTTTATGGAACGAATGTACAAACGAAGCAACGATTGATTATTGGCTAATCAATTGCACAAATGGTTTCCAATTGCCTCCTTTCTTTGCCGTTTTTGTTTTCTCTATCAACATTGACCAGAAATTTGAACACAGTATTTTGTCACCAGAATGACGTGTGCCATTTTCTAGGATTGTATAGTTGCCGAACAATAACAACCTGAGAGTAAATGTCTGTAACATAGACCTCATTCAGTGAAGCATACACGGTGCAGACGAATAAAACACATACTCAGAAAAGGCGATTCGGTGACCAAATATAAACATATGTAAACATTCGACTATTCAAACAAGAACATGATACGCCATCACAAGAAGTGCATTATTATTTAAGATCGAGATGAATCGAAAAGAAAAGCATTCTAAAAAGCATTCTAAAAAGCATACACATAATGGATTGTAGCGATATCGGATCATCGTATTATAGTGGGCCTAAAACGCACAAAGTGCCACTACGTCAGGTTCGTGAAATTGTATTAACTTTCATACCCTCACGTATCGTAATCTTGTAACTGATATCATAAAATAGTCACGTTTCAGCGTGGAACGTCTTTTATAACTATGATATACTCAATGAATAGATAAAATTACAGCTTATCAATAAGACGAACAGGGTTGCTAAATGCTGAATTCAAAATAAAATTTAATACATTTAATAAATATAATATATATAATAAATATAATATATATAATAAATATAATACATATAATAAATATAATAAATATAATAAATATAATAAAGTTAAAATATATAAGAACAGTCATCACCCTATTGTATTGACTGAAGTGTATGAAATAACGTTAGAGAAACAATATAGCATTAATACCTCATGTACGCACGGATGCAACACCTTCGGTAGCGCCGCCTGCAGGAGATTGAAACAACTTTCCCAACGACATTATAATAGAAATGGTTTCCATACTGCCAGCACGTGATGATCGGACTTCCAACTAACGCGTCGCCGGCGACTTTGCCGAATTCACAGCATGCTTGTTTCATCTCCTCGTATTCCAGGGAAGCTGTAAATTAAGTAAAACGTTCATCGCACATACGTTGTCAATAATTATTATGTTACACACGTGCAAAGTCTGGCAGGGACACTTGCACAGGGCCGTTGTGGCCGCCACGGCAACACGGCACTGCCGTGGCACTATTTTGAAGAAAAAAAATTCTGCAGGGAACCAAGGAGCAGGCGCGGATTTAGATGGGGGCACATCCGGCCGTGTCCCCCCCTTTTGAAACAAAAACCAAAAAAATTAATTACATTTTAAAATTAATTTTTCTCATTTCAATGTTGTAAATAAGGTTACAAGATGAGGTTCCAGTCAGAAATTGTGACATCATGACCAATTTTCATGTTTAACATAACTATTCAAATTTGTCAGTCATTCTTCTGAATTTCCTGCCAAAGAAAACATCTCAGAGTCATTACAAGAATTTGATTTTTACATTGTTAAGATTATTCCTGGCCTGCAACTGTATATGTCATACATGTTGTAACGGATGTTTCATTAGGGAAGAAAGTACTAATTTTATTTTGCTTCTGTAATGACCTACTATACTAATACAAACATTCTTTCAAGTTTGAAATATATTCGAGTTATCACAAGATTTGTATTTTGAAATTGCCATATTTTTCTCTAGCCTGCAATTGTTATTTGATATGTGAATGTGTTCTGTAATACCACATGATCATGTCAGAAATATATAAGGTTTAAAACATTTCGTGTAATGTAATTTCTCGGTACATTTGACGCGTCTTGCCTCCCCCCCCCCCGCCCATACGAAAGGCTGGTCAGCGACTGATCAAATTTAACACATAAATGCTTGCTGCAATATGAGTTAAAATACCCTCTACAGTATGCACCAGATTGCACCATTTTAAGCTAAAAAGTGCAAAAGCTCCTTAAAGCTCCTTATTGCCCCCAGGGGCGTGTACAGGGGGGCCAGGGGATCCGGACCCCCCCTGCTCGCGCAGAAAACGCATCTGAGGGGGTCTAATTTCAAAAAATTTCTGGTGGAAGGGCCCCTCAGACCCCCCCTTCGCGTGCTCGCAAGTATGAGTTACGGTTAGACCCCCCCCCCCGTCCAAATCCTGTACACGCCCTGCCCTCCTCACGCGCTTCGCTCGGTCGGGCTGGTCGCTCCGCTCTCTCGCCGTATCATCCCCACATTTCATACATATTGCTCTTTGGTGCCCCTCTTTTTTGAAATTATTGGATCCGCCTGCCAAAGAGCAACATGTACGAAGGAAATAAAACCCCGGGGGGGGCACTCACCCCACATTATGGTAGGTATGTGCCACTGCAAAGTAAAAATGGGGGGGGGCTCTGGAACAACTCAGACCTGAAAATGGGGGTCTCTGGAACTAATGTTTGTTGAATGTGGTATGCTCTGGAACTGGCTATGTTCGAAAATGGGGTCTCCGGAACTAGGATTTCGTTGAAATTCAATGCTATGACACTGGACACGTTTAAAGACAGTCCGGAACTGTGGGGGAACAGTGATTTGCTTTAAAATCTATGCTGTAGCACTTGAACCAATAATTGTTGTATTATGTAGAGGAGAAGAAACATGACCGCGAGAGAGATGAACGCACGCCACGCACACACACACACACACACACACACACCACACACACACACACACACACACACACACACACACACGTGACACACACACACACACACACACACACACACACACACACAGACAACACCACACACACACACACACACACACACACACACACACACAACACACGCACGCACGCACACATACAACACACACGTTGCATGCATGCCTTTGACGGCCCGGCTTCACGTATTCTGAAGTACGATGCACTGGAACGGAAATATTTAAAACTAGGGTCTCCGAACGGCAAAATGCAAGATCTGCATGGTAACTAAACTTAATGCTCTGGAACGAGATATTCTTAAAAATGCGATGCATGGAACGGAAGTTTAGGGTTAGGGTTGAAAATGGGGGTCTCTCGCCGGCAGACATACCTACCATGCAATATATATGGAGTGCCGCCCCCCGACCCAGCACGACCCAGTTAAGGCTCAACAATGCAATGGTTATGCATGTGCACGAGACATGTTAGACAAGTAGATGAACAGGATGTAATTCAGAATTTGTAAGTTGCCATCCAGGCAAAAAATATAAAATTGGAATAATTAAAAATAATATAGACAAGTTATCTGACTGACTGTCTGGTATTACTATTAATACTGATCAATTGTGAGTTATATCAGTGCTCAAAGATTTGGAATGTGTACTTGATATGACAATGTGCCTATCCAAATTCAAACTTCAAAACATACAGATGTAGGCCCTACATAGTGAAAGTATAAATGCAGATTGAAATAGGCTTATTTTTCATAATTATGTACTGATAGTATATACAATTTTTGTAAATAATGTTTTATTAGTTATCATACTCATAATATATATTTTAGATACTTTAGTCAAAACATCAGCTTTAGCTACATTCCTCTTTGAAATTTTCAAATTGACCTTTTAAAATGATCAGAATTGGTTGCTTTCAACATGAAATGCAGGAAATGCCATTCCCAGGCTCTACATTTCAAACATTTTCTGGGGGCGTATCCCCAGACCCCCCGCATCGGCTACATATTTCTGCAGTGGCACTTTTTGGGAGGCCACTACGGCCCTGCACTTGCACATATATGATGCGCAGACACTGGCGTGCGAAAGTGCCTGCGCGCACACGCATACGCGCCCGCACGCCCAAGCATGTATACACTGTATACAACATGTCATATCCCCATACGAATACCCCCCCCCCTTTCTTATAATATGATAATGTGTAAGAATACCCTATAGCTGAGTACAAAACAAGTACAAACATGTTCTAGGACAGGTTGTATCGTATACGTTGCACGTGCAGTCGGTCTAGGCTGTCTGGGGGCGCTTTCGTTGCCGGTGACCCCCCCACACACACACACACACATCGCTCTCCTCTTTCTCTCTACCTCTCTGTCTTTCTTTCTCTCTCTCTCTCTCTCTCTCTCTCTCTCTCTCTCTCTCTCTCTCTCTCTCTCTTGCTCCCCCTTCTCTCTCTCTATTTATCTCTCTCTTTGTCAGTCCCTTCTGTCTCTCTTTTATACGTTATCTGTTTCTTTATAAAGGTTACATCGATCGAACGAGAGCGATATGGGTAGAGAAAGCGAGAGAAAGAAGTATGTTTAAAAGACTTACATCTACAATAACACTTAACGTTAAAACACATACGCACACACGCGCAGGCACACATGGGCGAACGCATGCACGAGGTGCACATCTCGCGTTTTTGGTGATTGCAACGAAGCAACATGGGCCAAAACACGACTTCTGGACAATGACTCACGACTTGGAGGAATGCCATGAATTCCATGCAATAATCATGTTTGATCGGTCATTCGCTCATTGACTATTGCACTGACTTCATACCTTCTTGGCATATTCATATTTTCTTATGAATAAATATGTTCTTAGACAATTAAAGCGCGCTGCGATACATGCAGCGAAGTGGCGAAACGAGGTTGCCAGTCATTATTAGTAATCAATATTTCAGTCCTTATTATAAAGTTTCGCGTACTTACTTATGTAGGCCACTGTACGCTGCCGGTCTGCCTCCATGTCGCTCATTTCCTCGATGACCGAATTTTCACCATTTTCTTCTATATGCAGCCCGGTATCTTGTATGATGTCGAAACTGTGATCGTCCGGATATTGACTTATAATGTCCGTGTAATCATCGTCATCGATATCCCAATTTATTACGTCTTCGTCAATGTCATTAGCCCCGTAATCGTCATCGTTGTCGCCATCGTCGTCGATATTCAACTCTATCACGTCTTGGTTAATATCGTCATCGTCATCGTTGTCGCCATCGCTTTCGGTATGCAACTCTATTACGCCTTGGTTAATATCGTTATCGTCATCGTTGTCGCCATTGCTGTCGATATTCAACTCTATCACGTCTTGGTTAATATCGTCATCGTCATCGTTGTCGCCATCGCTTTCGGTATGCAACTCTATTACGCCTTGGTTAATATCGTTATCGTCATCGTTGTCGCTATCGCTGTCGTCATCGCTGTCGCTATCGCTGTCGGTATTTAACTCTTGGGTAACTGTGGTATCGTCATCGCTGTTGCCATCGTTATCAATATTGAACTCTATTACGTCTTGGGCAGTTGTGGTATCGTCATCGCTGTTGCCATCGTTATCAATATTAAACTCTATTGTGTCTTGGGCAGTTGTGGTATCGTCATCGTTGTTGCCATCGTTATCAATATTAAACAATATTGTGTCTTGGGTAGTTGTGGTATCGTCATCGTTGTTGCCATCGTTATCAATATTAAACAATATTGTGTCTTGGGCAGTTGTGGTATCGTCATCGTTGTTACCATCGTTATCAATATTAAACAATATTGTGTCTTGGGCAGTTGTGGTATCGTCATCGATATCGCCATTGTTATCGATATTGAACTCCTTCAAGTCTTTTTCGTTGGCGGTATTCTCAGCATTCGCATTGCTGTCATGATCGCCATCGCTAGTACCAAGAATCAGATCATCGTTGTCTTTAGTAATGGTCTTTTCGTCTGTACTGACGTCACTTATAACAGCCTCCGTGTTTACGCTATGTTCAACACCACTAACGCTGCTGTATTTCGATGCAATCTTAGTGGCGATTGTCTCCGAGACGGAAAGCGCATTTGCGAGGCCTGAAATAGTGTGAAAGAATAATTTGGATAGTGAACGATGCAGATAAATTTAGAATTGCTGAAAAATAAAGTACTTTAATTTTGCTTCACAAATTGAAGGGAAAAATTGAGGTTTTAAAGAAACAATATTCAAGATGTTAAAAGAAACGTGAGAAAAATAAGTAAACAAGGGGGAGGGGGAATTCTACGGTTATTTCGGGGCTGTATTGGCATTTTATCGGCAATTGAGGGGGATTGAGGGGATTATATGGGGTTTGAAAGAAACTATGTTCAAGATGTTAAAAGAAACGTATGAAAAATAAGTAAACAAGGGGGAAATTCTACGGTTCTTTTGGCGCTGTATTGGCATTGTTTCTGCAATGTCCGCTCGCGTTTTAACCCATTGCGAACGCGCATGCCGCATTAGCATCATATCAACTGGTCTTTGCAAAGCTACACGCACAAACTATTAACCAAAACTTTGACGAAATTTTTTTACTATTGAAATAAAGACGGTGTGCATTCTGGGATAACACGCACTCAAACCCACATGTGCCGGCATTCCCCGGCATGCCGAATTACGTGTCCATGAGATTGGATTAAAGTAGTCTGCGTTCGTGCGTACGTAACTAGCACTGGAGCGCTATAATGTAACCGCACACCGCATGGCAATGATGGTCGGCACGTGTGCTAGAACTACTGCGTAGTTGGCTGGCATCGCAGTTATATGCCAGGGGACGATGACACGCCGAGTACACGCACCGCAATAAGCTGGGCTGAAATGACAGTGTAGGCGGCCAATTAATCTAAATATTTATAAGGTAATATTAAAATGAAATAAATAAAATTATATAACATAGTAAATAACTTTATTAGAGTCCCGCGTGAAATAAACTACTGTTATATTGATGTATTTATATGTTTGACGATTTTTTTCCTATTCTATAAAGGGGGAGGGGTAAGAGTCAGAAAGGGGGAGAGATGGCGAAGAGGAAGAGTGATACATGATAAAAAACGACAAGGCAAGTGACTAGTGACAAGACATATGGTTCGTAAGACATATGGTTCGTACTATGGTTCGTACAGGAGGACTGAAATTTTTCCCAAGGACTTTTCAAGGACTTTTCAAGGACATTTTATCGGAAATTCAAGGACATTTTATCAGACATTTTATCGGAATTCATACACAGAACAAAACATACCTGGATTAATTTAATAACCCCATTCTTAATCACTGCATGTCACCTCTAAAACTTACCTGGATCACATTAATAAACCCTATAAACACTGTCACTTCTACAACATACTTTGATTCACTGACTGATTTTACTGACTTACTGTAATTTATGATCATTATTTAACTGTCTATCGTGTCTATAGCTTTTTAAGCTCATTTAACGTAATTTTTATTGAGGTTTGCACATTATTGATGGTACAAAATTTCTTTTTATTCTACGCAAGGATTCTTTCTAAAAATTCAAGGACATTTTCATGAAATTCAAGGACATTTTCATGAAATTCAAGGACATTTTCATGAAATTCAAGGACATTTTCATGAAATTCAAGGACATTTTCATGAAATTCAAGCACTTTTCAAGCACAAAATCAACATTTACTAAATTCAAGTACTTTTCAAGCACAAAATCAACATTTACTAAAGTCAAGTACTTTTCAAGGACTACCCTCAAATTCAAGGACTTTTCAAGGACTGTGCGAACCATGCAAGACATTGAATATGTGATAGTATAGAATATCTTTGCCGTTCATACGTTTCTTCTTCGCGGACTTCCTCTATCGCGATTAGTTACTTAAAGCTAACTATATGCGCATATTATTCGGTTTTATGCGGATATATTATAGTCAATGCGATCGTATGTATTTTATGAAAATATTTTTCACCATACTACTCGATTTTGCACATTGCGAATTGCGACTTTTTTCGAACTGATTTCTCATAAACCTCACCCCGCGCGAAAGGAAAGCTGCCCCTCTAATGCGTTCATACTTATACAGGTATAACACTAGATCTATAGCCACGTACGACAAAATCATGATCTTTCGGGGTTTAGATAATTATCACCACATGTTCTTCTAACACGATGGGACACTATATATGTATATCCATCGCAATCGCCCGTGTGAATGAATGAACACAGAACACTAGAACAGCCATGTTATTCTGATGCAATACGTAAACATGCTAAACATATTAATATTGTTAACATATTATCGTCTAGCTTACCCATCAAATGAACTATTATCGCCATGATGATGAACACCTCGGATCTTTTTCGCGACTTCATGGTTGCGTATTAGTGCGTATAGATGAGCACAGTGAAAGATCGCGTCAATGCTCGGCGAACGATAGATGTGTGTGTGTCCACGCATGCTTGTCTATAGGCTACAGCAGAAAGGAACCAAAATAGCAGCTAAAACCTCGCTGGCCCGAAACATGAATGGCAGCGAGCCAGGTTTCTGGCTCGCTCGCGATCCTATTTGCGGAATACTACAACGCAGTAGTAAACATATGTATGGAAAGAGGACGGATATTATTCAGATACTGCGAACCGGTCTCAGGAACGCCGTTGGCGGCGGGTGCGCTGGTAAAGTTTGCCATGATTGTCGTGTTGGTCGACGTGCAAGCTCGTAATTGCTCGTAAGCTCGTAAGCACCGCCCTTCTAAGTTAAATGCCCTAAATGAAAATAAACGCCTGCCCGACATGCTAATTTTCGTAACCGCTGGGTACGAGTGGTGAATCAGACGTGTGATATACCGGAGGGTTTATCGTTTTACCCGTTTGCGAGATTCGGGCCAATTTTATGGAGTGTTTGAGAAACCGAATGTTCGTCCGTACGCAGTACGCAAGTATTGTAGCGCCAATTGTGATATAACATGTTTCCGAAGTAAACCGACTGTTTTCCAACCGATGTTTTCCGAGGTAATATCAGAAGTATATTATGACTATATTATTTAATCAAGCATTATCTCGGGCGGACTTAATCACCCATCGTCCCCCGTCTCCAAGCCCAATACCAGAAAACAAGTGAGCAAACATATTATATGTTTCTTTTATGAGAATTTTATTCCTCCATTTTACTAATTGTTCGCCAGGTTTTGTGTTTACTAAAGGCCAGAAATTTGGCATTCACACAAAACACACACCGATTGCTGCAGGGCAAATGCATGCAGTCATATGGTACTTCCTGCACTCACGCCCTATGCAAACCGAGCTTTAAACGGGTGTAAAACACATATTTAATTTAGGTAGCAGCGAAGGGTTAGCTGTTAAGTAACAACTTTAGGGGAGCAATTGGGGTTCAAATTTGTTTGCGCAACAGCCCCTTGTGTGAATTTCTCACGAATTGTGATTAATATGTTTGTGAAATTGCTTTTACAAGAACCACCTCTCGTATGTGTATCTTACGTGGTAACACGCCGCATTCAGAGCGGTAGCCTGAGGGGGGCAAGGGAGGCAGCTGCCCCATAGATTTTAGAGCAAAATTAAAAAATATGCTTATAGCTAATAATCGTAAATAACCCTAACGTGATTTTTTTGTCACTTATCCGTGAAAGCCTTGTCGCAGACCCACCTCTACCACACTATATGGACGTCGACCAACAACTGCGCCTGTCGCTCATCATTACACAGTTGAGTCATGACCCCCCTTAGGAATTTGCTCAGCCTACGGCCCTGGTATTCCGCGGTGCAGTAGCGTAGCATATTATCAGGAGTGAATAATAATAGATAATAATAATATTATATTAATATTCATTCCTGATATTATGTGTGACGCAACGTGGCGCTATACTAGGAACGCCAATGGAAAACAAGTTTAATCTTTGAAAAGGTCACGGGATTGTATAATACGAGCAGGCACACATACCGAGCAATTCTAAACAGAGCGCAACCGACGCCCGTGACAATGAATTCATGTAATTGCGAATTTTAGTATGAGCGGTGTGAGTCAGGCAGCATGGCTGTTGAAATCTATGATTGATCAAAAGAACAATTCTTGCAAATGTTACAAAAATTCAAATATAATGAAATTATCTACTAACAATTCCAAAGTTGTCTTGCATTACCATGGCTGTTGAAATCTATGATTGATCAAACGAATAGTTCTTGCAAATGTTAAAAAGTTTGAATATAATGAAAATATCCACTAAAAATCCTGAACTGATGCTCTTCGAGCGATTATAATTTTCAGGAAGCTGTCTCACATTACCATGAGCCCATCTACTATCAGCCAATTATGTCACCGATTGGTCAGTCACCTACTTGTTACGATATTACTGAGCTATCATCCTATATGATATTTAAGTTATGCGTCAAATACGATGGGTCAGTAATAAAAGATTTAAACTTTTCAATAGTTTTTCAAAATATAGTTTTGTCGTCAGGTCTTGATGGCTTTTCAATACGTAGGCAGCGTTTTAACTGCTACTGGGGCTGATGCAGACAGGCAGCCACTTGATCGACGTCAACTGATCCATCTATACTTATATATGAAATAATTCCCCTCGACGACTCACGCGTATGCATTGCATTTAGGCTAAGGTTCTCGACCACAGGAAAGAGGTGTGATAAGCAAAGGTCGCCCCGGCCATAGAACAACTAGCGCATCCGCAAAAGGCAGAGTGTCAACCGCACGACTTGGCGAGTAACAGCGATGGTGAAGTAAGAGCTTAACCCAAGGATAACTAGATAACTAGTTGCATGGCACTCTGACGTTGTCGTCCTCGCGTGTGTGAACACCTCAGAGTAAAGTTGTGGCCAAACCTCTCGTCTCCTGGCTATATTAGTCAGATTCAATGCGTCCATGATGCCAGAAGTGCGTCACAAACGTGTGGCAGCGCAATTTGTAAACGCGGCAAAATTTGTTTCCTCGTATATCGGTTGTTATTCGACGCACGACACAACGTATAAAACGCACCGTGTGATATCATGTCGGTAGAAGTTACGAAGCCTGAGCATTGAGTTATGTGAGCTCCTACTCCGAGCTCAGAGGCGTGCACTCCGCCATGTGTGTTCAGTCTGACGTTTTCAGTGTGACAGTTTCTCGCTAAAATGCTGGATGAGCGTTGGGATCAAAAACGCGAACAACTTGCTGGCAGGCACATCACACACTATCACCACCATCATACATCACATGACAGGGCCGTAGGCTGAGCAAATTCCTAGGGGGGGGCAAAATTTCATGACTCAACTGTGTAATGATGAGCGACGGGCGCAGCTCTTGATCGACGTCCATAGTGTGGTAGGGACGGGTCTGAGACAAGGCTTTCAAAGTTGCCAAAAAATCACGTTAGGGTTATTTACGATTATTAACTAAGCTTATTTTTTAATTTTGCTCCAAAATCTGGAGAGGCAGCTTCGCCCCTCGCCATACACGTACAGATTAGTGACTGAACGCGAGTTCAACACATCGACATCACATCGAGGTCCTCATTGAAACATTAATTAGACGCTATAGAGACGCCGTGTGGCGAGCAGCTGTGTGATTGCGGGCGACAAAAGAAAGTAGGAAAGCGCACGGTCGATAGGTGCGAGACACCGGAAATGTTCAAGCCAACAGCATGCACGGACGCTACGGGAGACCTATATTGCTATAGGCATAGCTATATATTGTTACAGCGATGTATATATATATAGTTCAAGAGTACATAATAGAGATTATATAGTCTTGTTCTCTATTTTGTACTCTATCTACATCTCTACATCTTTATCTACAGATTATATTAATAATATATATATAATTATGTAGGTGTGTGTGTGTGTGTGTGTGTGTGTGTGTGTGTGTGTGTGTGTGTGTGTGTGTGTGTGTGTTAGGTGTGTTTGTGTGTTCGTGTGTGTGTTGTGCGTGTTGTGTGTGTGTGTTGTGTTTGTGTGTGTGTGTTGGTGGTGTGTGTTGTGTTGGCGTTGTTTGGTGTGGTGTGTGTGTGTGTGTGTGTGTGTGTGTGTGTGTGTGTGTGTGTGTGTGTGTGTGTGTGTGTGTGTGTGTGTGTGTGTGTGTGTGTGTGTGTGTGTGTGTGTGTGTGTGTGTGTGCGTGTGTGTGTTACTGTGTGGCTAGTAGCTCTACAAACAAATTATGGATGACATTGTCTCTGTATTTTAAAGCTAGATACGGTTGGGGTGGCCGTGTTGCATCACATTACCCGATATATATAGGCCTATATATATATATTAAGAGAGGGGGAGTCATAGCTAATGCATGTAGAATTAGAATTTAGGATTTTCTCGGCAACAGAATAAAATTGGTCAGGAGGCAGCGCAAGAAAGGTCGTCTGCCGATCTCGTTTCGTCAATCATGAATTCAAGTTATAAGCATCTTTTTAAGGTTGCATATATGAGATTGCAGGTTATAGCTCATTTTGCTACATGCACGCAAACGGTCACATTTCCACTCATATCAACGCGATAAACACAAATCAAAGACCGCCGCAGAGTACGCTCGTGAAATCGAAAAAGAAATTACGGAAATTGTGTTTTAAAGTAGGTACATTTTACCTACTCAGATGGCATTCATTTCAGGATAAAATCTAATGTTAGTTTGTTCAATGACAAAATTAATGGTGGGACGTGTGCCTGCATGCACGATAAGGATTCTTTAGCAATGCTGCGGCAGTTCCACAGCCGTAAATATGACACAATACATCCTCTTCCTTGTCATACACTTTACGCATGAAATTTCGTCATTTGATCTCGTTATTACTTTTTTCCGATAAGCGAAGGTATTTTTGCGACTCCGTCTTGCGAAACGTTCTTAATATTAATCGATGACACATCGAATCATTGGGTTTGTCGCGGTCCGGATATCGTTATCGCGAAATATCATGGCTTCGTAAATCACCACTAATTAGCTGCGATTGTTGACTTGCGCGGTCTAGTAAGGACGAAATTGGATATTCTATCGAAGATTTGTGTGTTACGCATTTCCGTGTTGTTTATCGGATTGTGAATTATATCAGCTTCTTTCCGATAGCACCATGTAGATGAGGCGCATTAGCAGAAATCAATGTTATTGTTGCCACTGTAGCGACAGTTGCGACATCGGCACAATTTGTTTTACTGACTACGTTAAAAAATAACTTATGCTGATATACTAATACAACTCATTGTAAAGCATAGCATAATAAATAGGATTTTTTTGTATCAATGCACTACATTTGTAATTGTTCATTAAATCAGCACAGGTTACTTACTGTACATGTGAGTGAATTATAGGGCTTGCTTTGATAATAGTCACTTGGGGGTATATGGCGCATGCCTTGACTCAGTATTTGCTCATGTAATATATGAACCCATGTTAGAGCAGAAGAGAATGTTCGTGCGCGCACATGTCTGCTTTCCTCCACATGACGACTCCCTCCATCATATTAATCTTGACAATAATGAATAATAACGAGATATTATATCATTTGTTGCCGACAGATGCCAGCACTATCCAAAATGTTTTCGTATGCGCAGTGGTTGC